GGATATTGGGGAGCACTGGAGGGGAGAAAGGGAAGAGTGGGGGTAAAGATAGGGGAGTGGTATTGGGGGGAGATGGGGGGGTGGAACAGGTTTGGAGTTGCAGGGACTTTAGAGGTAGGGAAAGGCTGTGAAGGGTCCGGGATGGGGAGAGGGGCATGAGGCTGAGAGAGACCTTGGGAGCCATGCTGAGATGCTGAGGAAGGTTTCTGGGAGGATGAGGAGCACTTGGGGCGGTGCTGGGGGACAGGAGGGGTTGTGGGGAGGTGAAGCCTCCTTGAGCCATGTTAAGAGGAAGAGCCACTCCTGAAGCTCCCGTCTGGGCCAGCGGTGTTGCTGTCAAGAAAGGGACAAACTCAAAGGCATTACGACTGTGTGGTCATTTGCAGGGAGTTCCTGTGTCTAGGAACATTGTTTAGTTCTGGCTCCGACCTTGGCTGAATTGTAGACTGGCTTTTCTTTTTCTGTTACTAGGCTGGGGAAGTGCTGCTTTGGGGCTGTATAATCATCCCATCGGGGTAGGGAAGTAACGGGGTGGTAGAGCTGGCCCAATCCCAAGTGGGGCATCTTCTGCGTCTTCCCCACTTCTACCCCGTAGCCTGTGGGAGAAATCACAGTCGTGTCACCTCTGCGTCTTCACAACCTCCTCCCCGTTGGAGGGGCGACTTGGTGCCTTGGTGATGGGCGAGCTCATTTTTAAGAGTCTGTGATCACTCTGTGTGAAAGGTGTTGTGCAATTCTCTATTTCATCGTGTTTTTTTGTCTGTGAAATCAAATAAAAAACTTTTTTTTCTTGCTACTTTTTCCCAGTAAGTGGATGTGCTTGGTGTTCAAGCAGTAAAGTGGGCTCTTTTAACCTGCTGTATGTTGTCAGGAATGTAGTGAGGGCTTTTATTTCTCTAGAACAGTAAACCGAAGTGGTAGGTTTGCAACCTGTAATGACAGTCCTGCAGGGTCTCTGACTCAGCCGGTGTCTTTGGGAGGGCAGGGTGAGGAGGAGTCTGCACACAACTTCACCACACAACTGATTTCTGTGCAACACCCATCATATCAAAAAAACAAAGGGATGTTGGAACCCTGGGCCCTAAAATGCCTGGTTGAAACTTAAAAAGTGCCCGAGGGAAGTGCTAGAATGCCATACGTGAGCGCACAACCTGGATGTTGGGGAAAAAATAAAAGGTCTTTATGTCCAAATTTATCGCTGTTCTCGGAATATTACATGTTCACAAAGAGGCTTGTCAGTTTGTGAACAAGCTATAAACTTTAAAGGCACGCGATGATGTCTTAAATGTGAAATAACCATCAGTCATTCTGATTGAAAATACCGAGCAGCGATGCTGTCCTTGTGGTCTTTATTGCGTGCTAACTCCATGAACTTAGTGTTATACTCTTGTCTATAGCTGCCCTCGCTAATTTACTCCGTGGTGAGGTTTCAGTGCCTTTTTTCCACTGCTCTTTTACAAGCAGCTGGCAAACATCCACAGCGTGTCCTAGGGTGAAAGTGTGCTTTTTATTGTTGGGCAAGGCATAATCTGCAGTTGTGGGAGGCCAGTTTGTCAGGGTCTTTTATTTTCCATGCGGGGAGGTTGGAGCAGCGCAATCTAGCGCGGTAATTCCCTGAAGGGGTGTCCCTGGGTGCTGTTTTGGATGGCGTTTGGGTCTCTTCCTTGAGCCACACATTTCAGATGGTGGGAGGGTGTCCTGTGCTGGAGAAGGAACCTGAGCTGCAGGGAAGGGTTGAGGTGGGATGCAGAGGTTGGGGGAAGAGGTAATCGAGTATCATAAAGGTCCTTCGTGGAAATCCTGAGGGGTGCTGAGAGGGTGTACAAGGGTTTGAACTTGAACAGTACCTTCTCCTTTGTTAGCTCCCTGTGTAGGGTCTTGCTTAACCCTAGCAGATAGGAAGAGGTATCTGTTAAGTTCACACACTTAATCTGCACTGACATCCACGAGCAGATAAGCTCGTCTGCTGCTCTGTGAGACTCATGGTGGAATGAGTCTAGCAGAGTGAACATGAACAGGCTCTGGAAGTCAGGGTTTGCCCAGGGCGTTTCACTGACAGCCTGAGGTGACGAAGATGATTTTTCAAAGCTTCATGGAGTTTTGTCCTTGTGTTTTCTAGATAGGGTCTTGAGCATCTCTTCTCGAGTTCCCCAAAGCTTGATTTAACCCGTTTTTACTGTAGGGCTAGTTGCCCCATTAAAATACCTTTGTTCAAAGAACACCCTATTTCACTGTAGTGCCATGGACAGGTAGACTCCAGCAGCAGAATTATTTGGGCGTGGGATTTGCAACGTTTGCATCTACTTTGACTGAAAATAGGGCCACGTCTGCAGGAGGAAAAACTACAGCTGTGTGCTGTGAGGAAGTAGCAGTTTCTCCTGAATGTTAAGATTGGTGATGAAATATTAATACTCCCAACTGAGTCACCAGCCAGACCGGATTAGGTCTCCTTCTTCCTAAACTGATCAGGAGTTGTACAACTACATGAACAACTTAGTCTGGTTTCCCAAGAAAATGGGGCTTGTGTGATATTGCTGCTGCCTGTGGCTGGCAGCGCGTTTCCTGCTTCTGGCAACTTAATTTTGGAGTCTGTGCCTCTCGCAGCCAAATCAGTTAGGAGGCAGACATCCAAAAGTTAAATTTCTATACATTTAATGAAAATAAGTACCCTGGGAGAGGAGGAGAAAAGGACCCAGTTAGTGGTCCCTACCGTGGGAGATGCTTAGCTTTTGTGAGGTAGAGGAAGATGCACATGAGGAGATGACCCATGGGATGTATTTGCAGGAAGGTAACTTGGTTAATGCTGGTGCCCATGGGATAACTCGTTAGGTGCATCTGCCTGGCTGTGTGGTTGGTAGGGACTGAGATTCCTCTGAAGGACCTCAAGCAAGAATAAAGGGTGAAAATGATTGAGAAGCTGTCAAACAACAGCTGGTTATTGACAGAATTAGCTGCTTCGTATCTCATTTCTGTTAGGAAAACAGTAAGAAACTGAGGCAAAGAGGCTACGTGCTCTGTCTGATGAGTCATTGTCTGAGCCGGGATTAAACTTGCATGCCTCTTGGCGTGTGGGTTTCTGCTCAGAGTGTGGTTGCATTTCTCAGTGAGACCTGCGAGCGCTGTGAACGTGAGATATTGTAGCAGACCTGAACCTCCTGGGGAGGACATTGGAGACCTGTCATTTGCTGAGTGAGGACTCACAGACGTGGTGTCCAAAGCTCCTCCTGCCCAGGGAAGCTGGAGCTCCCTCCTCTTAAGTTGTGCACTGTGATGTTAGTTGTTCAGACTCTACCTGGATTGCCTTCCCCAGAACTGGCATTAAAAAATTCCTTGCCTGGCCATACCCTAATTTCCAAATGTCTGTTTTATTTGAGTCTAGGATAAACTTTTCTGAAGCCAGAGAAATACCTGTGCAAGCAAGATGGGAGACGCTGTCCCCTGTGAACAGATGTACTGCTGAAGAACAAGTAAAATGTGATTCTGTTTGAAGGAATTAATAGTTTTCCCTGCTATAACAAAATCCTTTCTGCTCGCAGGTGATGTTGGGAACTACTATTATGGCCAAGGACATCCAATGAAACCCCACAGGATCCGTATGACCCACAACCTACTGCTGAACTATGGCCTCTACAGAAAGATGGAGATATATGTAAGTGTAGGACTGGTCATGAAAAGAAATATATATGGAAGATCTTAGTTTATGTGTCAGGTTTTAGTTTTGATGCTTCAGACTTGTAAGTTCTCTGTTGACAAGCCAAAGAGGAAAAGGGGAAAAAAAACACCCCAAACAGTTGTGCTGATGTATTTCTGTTTTATTCTCATTGCTTGTAGTGAGATGATCTTTGCTTCAGATAAGCTTTGGAGACTGGAAAAAGGCTTTTCTTGCTGTGACTTAAATATTTCCTTTGTCTAGATATGTCCAGTCTCCAGTAGTGGCATTTTTGCCTTTGAAAATAAGTTTCTCTTGTTTAATGCTGCTGTTTTAAATGTTTTGCTGTTCCTGGGAGTCAATCTGAGATTGGAAATGGGAATTTTTTTTTTTTTTTTTTTTTTTTTTTTTTTTTTTTTTGTCCTTGCAGCGCCCTCACAAGGCAAACGCAGAAGAAATGACCAAGTACCACAGTGATGACTACATAAAATTTCTGAGATCTATTCGCCCAGATAACATGTCGGAGTACAGCAAGCAGATGCAAAGATGTAAGCTCTGTGTGTAGGGCTTTAGTTTTCCTGACAGTGCTAAAATCTGTGGTTCTGGGAACCCTAGGCCAGCTTTAGAAGTTTGTGATAAAAAGAGTAGGAAGAACCATGGCAAACTGTCTTTCTCCCGGCTTTTTGTTTTTTCTGGTATATCAAGAATTTTCAAAATGGGTTCCTCTCTCAAGCCAATATGCCAAAAGAGCTGAGGAAACCCCTTAGACCTGGCTTTTACTGGTCTTGTGTTTTGATGGAAACTTCTGACTTGCCTTCCTGGCACAGAGATGACTGAATTACTCCATTTATGAGTTGCTTGTATTTTCTGTTGTTGCTTATCTTTAACCAAAGGTATTGAGGTGGGAAGGGGTTGTGTAATTTAAAACAAACAAACAAAAAAGCCCCCAACTCATCGATTGTGTCCAAAATCTGCAGTAACTCTGAAGGATTTCCAGGGCGACAGCAGTTTGGAAGTGGGGGAGGCTTGAGATGCACAATAATACCTTGTGTTAAAATGGTTTATTTTGTGAGCTAGTCTCTTGTTCTAACCTCTCCAGTCCATGGAAGGGGTCTTAAATGGTGACTTTAATGTTACAGAAAACATTTTTTGGTCTCTCTGCAACTACAAACTGATGTTCTTTGTCAGTGACTGCAGCAAACTAGATTTCTAGCAAGCGTAGACAAACAGCGGGGAAGGCTCAAGGTTCATTTAAACAGTGTTTTGGTCTTGCACACAACAATCCTCGAGAGCAGAAGAAAGTTGTTAGCCCATGGGGTTTATTTATGTGAAGTGTATTCTCCAATTTAGAAGAAATAAGGGTCTTGAGTCTGGAGCAGAGGCACTTGGCAGTCTGGTGTGAGCTGAAGGGGACGGATATTAAGGCACAAAGCGCATAAGAGGAATGCGTAATACGGTTCATGAGTAATACACATTGAAAGACTTCCTACAGTAAATGATATGTCTTAATGTACCAAATGACATGTACCATAGTACATATTTACACAAACTGAACTGTTTACCCCTGAAACAGATACAGCCCATAAACACCCACTCTGCTTTCTCTGGTAGTCAACGTTTCACAGAACTATTTTTACCTGAAGGAGGCAAAATATAAAAATTAATCTTAAACACACGGAGGACAGAGCTTTTCTTCAACGAGATCTGCAAAACAGGGGCCTCTGTGTAGCTAGAGAAGTAGCCCAGGAGGCTCAGAACAGAGATTAGGGATACAGGAGACAAGGTCACCGCTCCCAAGTACAGTGGCAGGTCTCTGCAGCCTGCCTGGAGCCTCAGCTTTCCTTTCGAGGGAAGGATACTCCTTGATTCCCCAAGGATGGTTCCCCCCTTAACGCTGGGCTCTCTCTGATTGTGGTCTCCCAAGTACGAAGCTCGTCACCCACCCACTGCAAGGAAGAAGGAGCATCTGTGCTTTTCAGCTTTATGCCTGTGGTCAAGTGATTGACCCCTGTTAGTAATATCCCTCCTTAGCAGTCCTGTCTGCTTTGAATCTCCTGGTGGGAAAAAGCCCAATTGGCTTCTGATTACACAGCAGCTCCCCTTCCTTTGCCAGGTATAGCAGAGAGATGCCCTCAAATACTGTCAGTGCTGCCCACAAAGCTCTGAAGGCAGTGAAGGTAATGAACAGTCTCTAATTTTGTTCTGCCAATGCTGTGTTGCCTGCCTGAGGACTTGGGAGGACTTACTCCGTAACCTAAAGGGCAAGAAGTTTAATTTGTTGTAACGGGAAGTGTGCAGAAATTAATGACTTGAAGTTCTCCTGATTTAACAGTGAAAGCTTCCAACCACCTCTTGGAGTTAATTATTCAGACTCTGCCCTGCTGAAACAATTGGAAAGCGGGAACAATTGCTTCCTTCTGGGTCCCCTGATGGGTATTGTCCTTTTCAGAGATCCCTGTCCCAAACTGGGACCATTCAGACTCCCTTATCACACAGTCTTTGTGGAGACTGTGCACTGACGAGTGTCTGCAAGAACTGTTTGTGCCTATCACCTTAAGCGCAGAAGTAAACGTTCTACAGATGTTTTTACAAAAACACAGGTTGGTTTCTTTGTAAAATCTTGCAAATTTTAGAGTCAATACAGCTCTGTTATTACTGTCAGTTTTTTATTTTTAATCACGGAGCTATCTGCAGTAGAAATTTATCCAGGCCAAAACTACAGTACTGCTGAGAACTTAAAATCTGACCGTCCCAACGTGAAGTAAAAGGAATGTACAAAGTGTAGCACAACAGATAACGGATGTGAACGTCTCGTCCAGCACACGCTACCGTCTACACATCTACCAGCTCCCCCCTTTCTCCTGCAGCGCTGGCAGTTTGCTTCCTCAACTCCTCATCAGCAGTTCATCAGGAAACAGGAGCAAAATCCTTTCCTGCTTGCTGTGAGGTTGTGTGGTGGAGCTCAGTGTCAGCTCTGTAGTCAAACAGCCCTTTCCCCCCCCGCAAAAGGCACCGTGCCCGGGCAGCAGGGCTGCAGCGTGGGCTAGCGAGGGCTGCTGTCCCCTGTTTTGCACAGCCTGTGGTGACCAGCACGTGCTGCCGGAGCAGAGCAGAATACTGGGAATGAGAATACTGGGAATGTGCCGCCTCAGCGAGCGCCGGCGGCGGGCGGGTGTCGCAGAGCTCTGCCTGGTACCAGCTCCTCCCGGCCCCTCGTTTTCCGACCGATTGCCTGGTTTCGGGATCCCTGGGAGCACGCCCCGGCAGGTGGCGTGTCGCTCTCGCCGGAGCTCCTGGGACCTGCTTTCCTCTTTTCCTTTCGAGTCAGGAGCATCTTCCCTGCAGCAACAACCTCTTTGCCCTCATCAGGCAATCCTCAGGTCGATGACGTTAACGTTTTACTCTTTGTGCGTGGCATTTTGTTGTTTAAAACTTTCGATCGCCTATCTGGTTATCTTTTAAAGTCAGCAGTGGTAGAAGCTTTGCCATTTATTTGTAGTTTTGTCTGACTAACTCTTTTCTGTTCTTTTCAAGTTAATGTCGGGGAAGACTGCCCGGTGTTTGATGGGTTGTTTGAGTTCTGTCAGCTCTCTGCTGGAGGCTCAGTTGGTAAGCTCACAAGTCGTATGCTGATTTCTTTTTCTCTTAAGCAGATGTATGTGATGTAGTTCTGTCTAGGAAATAAATTGTTGTAGGTGGTGGTGGGGAAGCCCTGTGAACCTATTTCTGATTTCCTTAATAATTAGATCCAGATTTCTTCCCATATTGGGAGTTCAAGCCTTTTAGATTGACAGATCCCTCTACATTTGTTAAGTTTATCTTCACTAGTCTGGGTTACTTCACTGAATATATGAAAGACTCTGTAAGTGGTATAACAACATCGCCAGCAATAGAATTAAAACCGCAGCAGCAGCAGGGGTTTAACAAAAAAATCAACGTGAGCTTTACGGAAAAAAAAGTTGTCAAAACCTCGCTCTGGGCAGGCATAACCTGAAAAGGAAAGAAAAGGGTTACTTTATCTGTTGTTTTTAACAGAAAGCCACTGTCTCTGGACTGGAGGCAAAATAGAATTTCAGGTTCCAGGAAAGCTGAAACATTTAAAACGCTTTCACTGTTTTCAAATACTTTGTTGTAGAAAGATTGGTGTTGTGAAACTGTTTTACTGTGCACAGGCGTTAAAGCTTTGTGGCTGCTACTCCCACAATGACATCTAGACGTCTTTTATTTCCTGTAACGTAGCAGCAGTACGTACAAGTACTGACTGCAGCGTTTTTTGAAGTAGCTCTCTTGTCCCACGGCTGTAGATTCCACAGAATATGTCATTTGTTTTGATCCTGAGAGACCTGCAAAATCTGCAGAAAGTTTATGAAGGGGCTGGGGATAGAGAACTTCCTTTGCCTGGATGCATATTCAGCGAATGACCTAAATATGTGTTAGATAAAACCTTTCATTAAAATCTTTTGTTCGGGGCACTGAGAAATCTAGACTGTCTTCAGCTGTGACCCCAGCTAGAATGCTGTGGACTTGTTTGTGCAGATTTCATGCTCTGAGGCAAAAGTGGGAAGCAGCGTAAAGTGTGTGCAGGCAAAACAGCGCCTGCGTTTCTCTTCCCTTGCCTTTTGTTAGTTCGTTGAGACATCCAGTGTTGAACCCTTGGGCTGGTGCTTTGCAAAGTACCCAAATGCAGACATAAGCAGTGATGTGATTGTAAGGGACCAGAGCTTTACCCCTCAGTCTCTGTCTTGGGGCCTTTGCTCTCCTGCTGACGTTGTGTAATTCTTCTCCCAACAGCCAGTGCTGTGAAGCTGAACAAGCAACAGACGGATATTGCTGTGAATTGGGCAGGAGGCCTTCACCACGCCAAGAAGTCAGAGGCTTCTGGCTTCTGTTATGTCAACGATATTGTCTTGGCTATCTTGGAGCTCCTAAAGTACGGGCAGTAATATCTGCCCCTTTTGTTTGTCCGTTCTGCTGCGTTTCCTCTGAGCCCTTAGCACTTTCTTCCCAGTTTCTCTTTTTGTTGCTTTTATTTAGCTGGGTTTTCCCAGGAGCACTTAATGAGCTTTGGGGATGTGGTACCCTCTCCCCGCTGGGGTGTCTAACGGGGACACTATACGAGAGGCAGAAGGCTTGGAGCGTTGTGCGGTTGCTCTTAGGCCTCTTCTCTAACCACCCACACTGGAAAAGGGGGCACAGCTGTAATGTGTGTCAGCTTTTGGCTCAAGGCAAACCTCAATTGGAGGCTTGGACATAAAAATGCAGTCTGTTGGCTGAATCTGAATAAACTGAGTTGAATCTGCCTTCAGCAGCAAAAGCCACTTTTATTTTCCTCAGTGGTTCTGTTCCACTGCTGACCAAAGCACGTGTCTGTTCTCTGCAGCTTTTTTGCTTGTAGGCTGCAGGAGTGAGCAGCCTGGGAGCTCTGCAGCCTGGGCATTAGCACCAAGTTCCCTGCTCTCCTCCCGTTTGCTCTGCTGGGGAAGGCACTTTCTGCTCTGAAGAAATGCAGTATTTTGACTCCTTTCTGCTCCTAGGTATCACCAGAGAGTGCTGTATATTGACATTGATATTCACCATGGAGATGGTGTGGAGGAAGCCTTTTATACCACAGATCGTGTCATGACCGTGTCCTTTCATAAGTATGGAGAATACTTCCCAGGAACAGGGGACCTACGGGTGAGAATGAAAGCTTAGCAGAAAACTACCCTGAAATTTGGTCTCTTCGGTCTGTCTGCCGTCACACCAATTTAACTAAAATCACCTCTGTCCTGGGTTTTCCTGCTCTCCAAGTGGCATCCTTTTTCTGAGGGCAAAGGGGTATAGATGAGGCAGTTGGCTGGGCTCTTGGAGCAGGTGCTTTGTTCCTGCAGTCACGGCCTGTGTAGTAACAAACCCAAGGCTTTGATATCGGTCTCTTAGCTGCCTTCTGGTGGCGTTATGCTCAGAAAAGTGACTCTGAAGATGGCATGTTGGTCATCTGTAGCTACAAAACTTAGCTTGGTCACACAGGCTTCTGGGTGAAGGTTTATGAGGGAGTATGACGCTGTGCGTTGGTTTATCTCGTTGGCATTTTCTCCTGTGAGTCAGTTCTGCAGGTTGATGAGCCGTGGTGTTAACTGTGGCACTCTTTCAGGTTGGATACAGGTGTGGTTCGCTTTGTGACTTCTGACATTGCCTGAATGCCTTTCTGAGGGGTGAAAGGTTCTTTACCTTTTTAATGTGCTGTTTTAGTGGAATTATGTTTTTCTGATCTACATTCTCTTCTCTTCCACTTGTCAGTTGTATTTTCTCAGTCCTGCCCAGAGTTTGGTGCTGGTGATGTAAACTTGAGTGCAGCTGCAGCATTCTTTCCTGGTGCAGCCACTCTGCACCATAAAAGAAATATTTACTTCTAATAAAACACTTGGGTATGAGAGAGATAATGGAAATGTAAAAATATATGTATTATTTTAAAGTAAAAATAGATTCCTTCAGTTACTAGACTGCACGGTCAGCCCAAACTGGTATTTTGGGGCAGTGTACAGGTTTGGAACTAGGCTTTTGGCTGCCAGTTTTATTGCTGTGTAAGAGTGAAATCAGAGCCTGTGTGCTCAGAGCAATGTGTAGTAGATTTTTCTCCTCTGAACATCGAGGGCCAAATGCCCCCACTGATGTCGGATAAGCTGCTGTTGGAGTCGACTGACTCTTGCTGCCTTCTGCCAGTTTGTCTGTGAGAGCGTAGGCTTCCGTTCAGATTACCCTGATGGGATTCCAGCCTTCCCTTCCTAATTTGGAGCCCAATTTATGTGCTGCAGTTCGTTCTCTGGTGACTTGTGGTCTCTCCTATCTTTCACTCTAATAGGATATTGGTGCAGGCAAAGGCAAGTACTACGCTGTCAACTATCCCCTCCGGGATGGAATTGATGACGAGTCCTACGAAGCAATATTCAAGCCAGTAAGTGAAGACATCTTTGCTGAGTGACTCTTTGTGGATCAGACTCTGTCATTGTGTGGCTCGTGGAGCCGTTCTTTGGGGAGATTGATTCACTCTTCTGTGATAAAATTCTTCGGGGGCTGTATTCCTCCCTAACAATTGCAGCCTGTCATCAGTAAGCATCTCTTTGTAAAGAGCCTGTGTCACCAATACAGGGGAGCCAGCAGCTGTGGGAACACTAGGGATGTCTTCGTGTCACTTGCTGACATGGACGTTACTGTGTTGCTGTGACACTGTCCTGTGGAGAGAGTGTAACAACGGGTTTCTTGTTTAGGTGATATCTAAAGTGATGGAGACGTTCCAGCCTAGCGCAGTTGTCTTGCAGTGTGGGTCGGATTCTCTGTCAGGGGACAGGCTGGGTTGTTTTAATCTGACCATCAAAGGTAAGGGTCCGTGTCGAACTGGCATAACTCTGTCGTTGCAGAGTTTGTTCTTCTCATACCACGGGGCTATGACCTTTTCCCCCCCCTACTGCTTTTGCTGCAGGTCATGCCAAGTGTGTGGAGTTTGTAAAAAGTTTTAATTTGCCTATGCTGATGCTGGGAGGAGGTGGCTATACGATCCGCAATGTGGCTAGATGCTGGACCTATGAGACTGCTGTGGCTTTGGACACTGAAATTCCCAATGGTAATTCTCTCCTGGAGCCTTTGAAGCAAGACTAAGGGACAGTGAGACTTGAGAAACAGAGCTCAGGGAAGTGATGTTGCTGTGGGAGAGGTAGCAACCCTAAAATGTTTCATGAGCTCTTGCTTATTACTGTGGAAGAGCTTCTGGATTCCCTGATTTGCAGTAGCTGTTCTTGTTTGCATTCTAGTCCTGTAGCTCTCCCCTCCAGCAAAAGGCGACTTACTGAAACGAGAGGACCTTTTACTGAAAACTTCTGTGTGCACTGATAGTGTTGAACTGCCAAGTAAGCTTTGACTGCACCGTTGCTAAGTTGTTTTGATCTGAATTTGGGCTGTGAGAGCTTCAGCTCCCACACCTAGCTCAACGCAGTTGTGCTTTTATGCAGCACTGAAGTACGACGTGTTTGTGGTGTCTCATTACTGGTCCAGTGGTAATTTGGTGTTTGTTTCTTTTTAACTTGCCTGCAGAACTTCCGTATAATGACTATTTTGAGTACTTTGGACCAGACTTCAAGCTCCACATCAGTCCCTCGAACATGACTAACCAGAATACCAATGAGTATCTCGAGAAGATCAAGTAAGTGTTTGTTCGTCTTTGCGAGACCGACACCTTCTACTGGGGGCTTCACAGCCGTGGGTGGCATCTTGCTGACGGAGGTGTTCCTGTCCTGGCTGGCTCTAGGCAACGTCTCTTTGAAAATCTACGCATGCTGCCTCATGCCCCTGGCGTCCAGATGCAGCCGATTCCTGAAGATGCTGTTCAGGAAGACAGTGGAGACGAAGAGGAAGAAGATCCTGAGAAACGCATTTCAAGTATGTGCTTGTCTCTGGCCTAGTTGCCTTGCCTGGCTGGGAAGCGTGGTGTTCAGAGCCTGTGGGTGCCAGAGCTGAACAGGATCAGCTAGCTGGAGAAGCGTGCAGGCTCTAAACTGAGTTACCCTAATAAAGAGAGGAGGATATATGATTTAGATATATCTGGAGTCCTTCAGTTTGAATCTGTTCCCACCTTTCTGATTGATTTTTGTAAGATAAAGCAATGACGCTAAGCACTGCAGGGCTGATAGATGTCTTTTCCTTTGGAGAACTGGCACTTTTGCCAGATGATTTCCATAATGGGAGAACCTAAGCTTTAATGTGAGAATTTAAACAGTTCCTGTGATGTAGGTGCTATGACAGAATACTTTCTGGGAGACTGTCTTCCACGGTGAAAATGCTAGTTTATATCCAGATTGGCTGATGGCCTTTAGATCTGGCAGACAGATTTTCTCAGTGTGAGGTTGGTTAACCTGCTTACGCTGTCAAGTCTAGACATCACACCGTACCTAATCCAAGTTGTACATGTGATCTTGGATCTCAGGCATGAGCGGCTAGGAGTGGTGAGTTGAAAAGATACGGCAGGTAGAAAGATAAAGTGTTTTTATCGTGGCCTAATTCTGACTTAGGTAGGCTCGTTAGTTCATTCCAGCGTGTAGATGTACCTGGAGAAGTTAGTGCTTGGTGTCTCCTGACTTCTAAATCTGCTGAAAACAACCTCTTGTCCTCTTCGTGCTCAGTCCGCAATTCTGATAAGAGAATATCCTGTGATGAGGAATTCTCTGACTCTGAAGACGAAGGGGAAGGAGGGCGCAAAAACGTTGCCAACTTCAAGAAAGCTAAGCGTGTGAAAACAGAAGAGGAAAAGGAGGAAGAGGAGAAGAAAGGTAAGCATTAGACCTGGGACTAGAAGCCCTCCCAGCTCTGTGGAACTTTGCCTGGCATGTACTTTCCTACTGCGTTACCGTTTGTCTTTTTTTGTCTTTTTTTTTTTTTTCCCCTAGATGAGAAAGAAGAGGAAAAAGCAAAAGAGGAGAAAGCAGAACCCAAAGGGTGAGCCCTGTCTCCTGGCATGGCGATTACATGGCTGTGCCCATATTTCCTTGTGCACCTACCCATGCCCCCGGTGGGATGTTGCCCGAGTTGAGGGGTTGGAGGAGAGTTGTGGGAGCTGGGGTGGATTTGTCACTGGCTCTTAAGGGGGAGAAGTTTGCACACCTGATAAAGTGCTGTGAGACCCTGCAGCGAAAAGGGCTTACAAACACCGTGCCTTCATTCAGTAACACGTTCCAAGTTCTAGGTGAGGATGGGACATAAAAGCGGCATTTTGAAGGTGGCAACTCAGGCTTGTTATTAAAGCTTGGGCATGAATTGCTTGTTTAAACCAAATCCTTCCCTGCTTGCTCCACAGGGTGAAGGAAGAGACAAAATCCACCTAAGATGGCTGCAGCTGGACAGCACCTGTCAGTGTGTAGTTGTCGTAGGTTAGCTTCTCTGGTTGCCTCCCATTCCACAGGATTTATATTTTATATATGTTTCTGTATATATTTCTATATAAATATATAAATGACTTGAGAACTGTAAATTATTCCTTGCTGCACTCCGCTGGGAGCAGATAGGGAGGATTCTGCGGAGTAGACAGACCTGCACTGCCCAGATTTGGTGACTGGGAAGTTTCACTCTTGCCTTCCACTGCCTCCTTAGTGTGTCTTTAAAAAAAAAAAAAAATCACTTCCTTTCTTTACTCTCTCCTCTGAAATAACAACCCTTGGAAAAGAATAATTTAAGTAGAAGTAGCATCTGCATTTCAGGTTAGGTGGAAAGATGGCCATGAATTTAATTTTCTTTTTTTTTTTTCTTTTTGGTTGGGTGGTTTGTTGGTTGGTTTGTTGTTTTGTGGTTTGTTTTTTTTTTTTTTTTGTGGGAGAATATGAGTTCCCAAATGAAGCCTGTGAGAGACTGACTATTCCTTTGGTCTTCAGTTTGATTCCACCATGGCAAGTAACTGCAAGCTGGTGCCGCTTCTCAGGGTCATATAGTGCAGTTCTTGAATAGAGTTGGCTACCTCCCTGCAGCAAACTTGTGGAAAGAGATGAAGCAGCTTAAAAGCAAACTGAAAAGCGCTTTTAGTGAATCAGCCCAAGAGCCCTGCAGGTGCAGATCTGGAAAATGCAAAATGAAAATCACCCTAATGTGGTGGTTAACATTTTCCGAGATCTTGCAGATCCAGTTAGTGTGGCAGCATTATGCATCTCGAGTAAGAGAAGGGATGAAATTTTTATACCTTTTTTTTTTTTTTTTTCCTATATCTATGCCCCTCTTTGAGGGGGGAAGTGAGTTACTGCCCGTTTGGCCGCCTGCTTTGCTTTTCCTGCTCGTTCTGCCCTCGGCTACGTGTGCTGTAATGTGCTTTCTCGCTACTGATCTGTCCTAGGCTGAAACCACTGCAGAAATTCCCAACTTGTCTGAAGGCCAGACCAAACAGAGCCTGGCTGAAACCTCTTGTCGATGTGTGTCGCTCGCTGAAAAACTCTTCTCTGAAGTGAAGTTACAAATGTTTTCAAGCTGAATCTTTCCTTTCTCTTGCTCTCAAGGCCAGTAAATATGGAGAACCTTTCTAGCAGCTGCCTGAGAGCTGTTATCTGTGGAAGGGAACAGCAGATGGGGCTCTGTACATTTTTATAACTACTCCTCTTCCTACTCCCACGCATTATCTCACACCCAAAGGTCTTTTGTGACCAGAATTGGCCTTTCTTTTGTACAGCTGATCAGAAGGTGGTGAGCTTTTGGTGAAATGCTTTGCAGAAGTTTTGCGGGCGGTTTTGACTCGCTGCTCTCCTTTCTCAGGGGGATTCCTCTGTCCATAAGAGGATCTGTACCTCCCACGGAGCGCTGCTGATGGTTTCAACTCTAATAATGCTGCTAACTTAACACAGGTTATTTTTTAAATGTTTTATTTTTTTAAATACTTCTTTTCCCT